GTGCAAAGCAGGTATATTAGTTTGCTAGGGCTGTTATAACGAAGTACCAAGACTGTGTGGCTTAGACAACAGACATTTATTTCCTTACGGTTCTGGAGGCTGGAAGTTCAAGATCAAGGTGTCATCCGGGTTGGTTTCTTCTGATGTTTCTCTCCTCGACTTGCAGATGGCTGTCTTCACCCTGTGTCTTCACGTGGTCTTCCCTCTATTTGTATGTGTCCTAACCTTCTCTTCTTAGGATACCTGTTATTGCAGATTAGGGTCCAACCATATGACCTCATTTAAACTTAATTACCTCTTTAAAGACCCTCTCTCCAAATACAGTCACAATGTGAGGACTGGGGATTAGGACTTCAGTATGTGAATTTCGGAGGGACACAATTCAGCCCATAAGAGGAAGGAATCATGAGGAAAAGGAAGATAGTGATAAGAAAAGTACTCAAGGCTGGCTGTTGGAACTTTGAATATGTGGGCTCTACACTCCACAGGTACAAAACTAAACTAATTATCACCAGCTTCTCCTCCCCAATCCACTGTTCTTTCTGTATTTTCTGTTTTAGGAGAGACCATTACCATCCAAGCAGTCACAAAGCCAAAAACCTGGGACCATCTTAGCCTCTTTTCTCCAGCTAGTCTCCCATGCTCTGTGAAGCTCATCATGAGTCCTGCAATTCTACCTCTGTGATGTAACTTGACTCTCTCCCCCTTCTCCTTTCCCAGGTCCTCCGCATGAACTTGGGCCATTCATAATTACTCACTTGGGTTACTCTAATATTCTCCTAATTGATCTCGTTTCCTTAATTCTGCCCCTTCTCCCTATGCAAATCAATTCTCCAAATTGGTCTCAGAATAATCTTTCTTGGGGAAAAAAGTCTGGTCAGTCACTTTCAGATTAAATTTCTTTAATAATTTTGTACTGCTTTAAGGACAACATTCACAATTCTTGACTCAAGCATGCAGTATAATCCTTTCTGTTCAATCTGATTGGTTGAACTTAGGTCACATGCTCATCCCTAGCCCATTATCAGATCCAAGCTGTTCAATGCATGAGTTGCTGAGATAATTAGGATATACTCCTCAGGGTCACTTTCCCTGGATCTTGTGGGCTGTGTGAGGAGAGATGGATACCAGGACAAAATCAGGGTTTCATTAAAAAGAAGGAAAGGGACAATGGATATTAGGTAGGTAACCCATGTTGACCATAGTCTGTTCCTTTGTGGAATTTATAGTCTAATGGTGAAGATGGAAAAATAAAGTCACAGTTATGGTGCAGTGTTTTTAGGACATGTGTAGAGTTCTGCACAGGGTGCCCTGTGAACACAATGACTCCTTTCTAGATCAGATCAGGGGTTCAAGGAAAGCTTCTTAAAGGAGGTGGTACCAAAACTGAATTTGTGAAGAAGGAGCAAGAGTCTGCAAACTGAGGAAGGGGGAAAGAGGCATTTCGGCGGAGGAAAAGCAAATGAAAAGCTGAAGAGTTGTGCAATGGTGTGCCTCAGTGGGGAGAAGCTCACCATTCATTCTGACCGGAGAGGGACAAGAGAGGAGACCAGCAGGAGAGATGGGTCAGATCAAGTCACATCATATAAATTTTATTCTACAAAGCTATCCATAATACCTACTGCTGCCATGTTTGTCATGCTAACTTATATTCCAAAAAACACTGTACACAATTTCACATAATACAGCACTTTGCTTCTACGGTATAAACCCCAATTGAAAGCTGAAAAATCTGAGACGAAAAGCTTAAATAACTTATTCATACTCCATAAAGCTGGCTCCAACCACTTTTCTACATAGCCTTTTGCCAAGGACTCAAACTCATGGAACTTGTTATCCCAAGCAATGACACCAACTGAAAACAAAGTTTCAGGCACTTGAGATACATTTGGCTATATCAGGATACATTTGAGAATGAAATATCTAAGGGAGAAGAAAAATTCTGTATCTAAAACGTATATCCTCTCCTTTTGACCAAATCCTCTGATGGACTATTCTTTGGTCATGCAAGGGATGGAGCACAAGGGTCAGGTTCTGACTCAGTGTTCTTATTTACTTATACCACCTGGATGTCACCAGTCAGTCAAATTTCTTAGCTCATGATATGCTCCTGCCTCTGCTTAGAATATCCTTTTCTCCCTTCTTCAATTTGCTGACTCTTACGTATTCGTCACAAATTCAGTTTAGGCATTAACTTTCTCAGGAAACTCTCTTTGAACCCTTGGTCTGGTTTAGATAGGAGGCTTTGTGCCTATGCCGCACCTTGTGCCGAACTCTATGCTCGTCTTCATCACGCTCCACCATAACTTTGGTTTTGGCTGTCTCTTCACCCCTCACCCCAGACTACAAATTCCATGAAGATAAGGACACTGCCTATTTCCTTTTCTTCTTTCCGAAGAAAACCCTGATTTTGTTCGGGTTTCTGTCCCTCCTCCATGCAACCCATGTGACTCAAGGGAGACTGTCTTTTTCTACCTCAAGGAATGGATCTAATTGTTTAAGTCATTGGTTCTCAACCAGGAATGAGTTTACTTCCCCCAAGGAAAATTTGGCAATGTCTAGACACACATTTGGTTGTCACAACAGGTGTTTGCTACTGGCATGCAATGGGTAGGGGCCAGAGACGCTGCTAAACAACCTACAATACAAAGGACAGCCAGCTCCCCAGGTTCAAAGAATTATCTGGCCCCAAATGTCAATATCTCAAAGGGGTGAGCCATTCTGGTCTAAGTCAATCTTTGAGAGACTTTGCTTCCTGACTGCTAATGGTCTAGAGATGAAGATGTGCCCCAAGTAATCAATCAGACTGAAGTGAAGGACTGATACTGGGAGAAAGATGGATGATAAGGCTAGAAAGTTGGACTGTGGTCACATGGTAGCTAAGTATGGCCTTTATTCTGTAACAGAGCAGGGAATACCATACTTAAAAAGAAATTTTAGAAGAGTGAGTCTACTGTACAACCTGCAGGATGGGTGGTAGGGGGAGAGCATGGCAGTCAGGAGGACTGTGAGACAGCTATTGCTACAGATCCTGAGTGAAATGACACGGTGTAAGTTCCTTTATATCCTTAAGTGGTTAGCACAGTCCCCTACACCAAGAAGGGATTCAAGATTGTTTTTTTGGAGAGTTGAGATTATAACCATTTTCTGGAACACAACAGATGAATAGGCCATGATTCTGACTCAGTGTTCTTAGTTCTTAAAAATCTATCACCTGCATGTCTACAACCAAAATAAAGAAGAATTAACATTTCATAAATCCCAAACTTCCCTGTGTTTTGAAAGGACATGTTAGGTAAGTTTTGCATAGACACTAAAGTCCATGTGTATGTATGTGTGTGTGTATGTTTCCTTGTAGAACCAACTTTTGAACAAATGTTCCTGGGATTAATTTTTGGTTGACTTTGATGTGGTAGTGCCCCTTGGATTAGTTTTCCAGCCTGACTTTGAGGGAAATGCCAAAGATCTCAATGTTGAGGTGCCCTTGACCAGCTTGTTGGAGTTTCAGAAATGCAGAAGTAACCACCAGGCCTCTGCCCTCTCCCACCACCCAGCCTGTTTCTCACCGAACCTTCCTTCCAACGGATGAACACTGGCCCTACAGGCATCAGGAAAGTTTGTTGCATTTTGGTTCTTCCCTTTGTTCTTAGCTGTGGCTCACAGATAGGATTTTTGCAGGAAAATTACTGTGATGTTTTAGATTAATTCAGGGAAGCTCCCAGCCCGCTCCTTAAACATCACACACAGGGCAGCCTGATAGCTACTTGTTGCTACAGTGGCTTCTGTAGTTTGAAAGGGGATCCATAGTACTGGCAACAAGCTTACGGAGAATTTAATGTATGCTTTTAGAATTGTGAGTGTAAAGTACTACATTTTAAGGTTTGCTATTTCTGTACCCAAGATGTTTAAATCTAAAAAATAAGACATTCTGTCAACATATGTTTAAAATTGAGTTTTGGAAATTTGTCTTATTTTGACGGTTACAATGGAAAACATTACTTTCAGTGACTGGAGTAAAACGTGGATAGAAAATTTATAAGACATTATGATCCTTCATATCTTTTTTTTCTTGGCAAAGCAATTTAATTAGGAAATAATCTTTCCCTCTAACATTTGACAGTTACCATAAAATGATATCTTGCTCTGCTGGAAACAAAACCAGCTTGTTCTAGTTTGTTGAAAAATTTTGAGCCATTACATTACTATGAAATATACATTTTAAAAATGAAAGATGAATTTTTAAAAAAAATCAGAAATGGCAAAGCACTTTTTTACAAAGCAATCCCTGATTTTGAAAAAAGTACGATTTGAGAGGCGCAGGGAGTGGGGTACTAAATCCTTAAGCGAAGGAGAAGGAAGCACCAGGGGACTCTGTCTTGGGCCGAGCACGCCAGGCGGCGGCTCTTGCTGTATGTGCGCGCGTGTGTGCATGTGTGCCCGAGTGCGCGCGTGTGACTGCGTTCACGTGTGTTTGTGTGTGCGCGCGCAGCCACAGGACCTCCGCGCCGGGACTTCGGGGTGCTCCCCGCCTCGGGCTTCCCCGCGGGCGGCAGCGGGGCGCGCGCCCCA